TGGGAGTGGTTCTGTTACATCTTGCTAATCTTAAGAGAAGAGTGGAAAGGAAAGGGGAAAGGAATGCACTAGGGAATGGAAGGGATGGAAGGCTAGGAAAAATTATCTCACATAATCAAGGAGCAAAAGTAGACATTTGAGTCTAGTTTTGGACACGTTGAGCTTAAGATGTCCATAAGATATCTAGTTTCCAATGGCCAATAGGCAGTCGGAGATGCAAGACTGGAGGTCAGGAGAGAAGTTAGGGCTAATTTCAATAAGTTGATTTAAGCACCATTAAAGAGCTATGATAATTGAATCCTTAGGAATTGATGACAACACCGAGTGGAAAGGTATAAAAGGAAAAGAGGGCCCGAGAGAGGGCCCTGTGGAACATCCACAGCTGTCAGTTGTGACCTGGATGAAGAATCTGGAGACTGAGAAGGAGCAGTCAGATAGGTAGGAGGAGAACTGGGAGAGAGGATTCATGAAAATACATAATAAAGATACTATCAAGGAGAAGGGGATAATCAATGATGTCAAAGGCAGAAGAACAAGGATTGAGAAAAGGTCATGAGATTTGGCAATGAAGAGACCGTTAGGAACTTTGGAGGGGGCAGTTTTGTTTATTTATTTATTTGTTGGAGGCAATTAGAGTTACATGACTTGCCCAGGGTCACACAACTAGTAAGTGTCTGAAGTCGAATTTTAACTCAGCTCCTCCTGACTCCAGGGCTGGTATTCTATCCATTGCACCACCTAGTTAGAATAATTTTACACACACTCACACACACACACACACACACACACACACACACACACACACACACACCTATTTGTGTCTAATGGTAGCCATCTGGTAGGGGGAGGGAGAAAAAAAAGGAAAAAGAAATGTACATGATGATTTTGTTGTATATTTGAAAGGAATAGCCAGTTGTGCATAGTAGATTTGCAGTTTCTTGCACAATCATCTTTTTTATTGTACTATGTTATGGAAATGCTTATTTTGTTAAAAAAAAAAACAAACCCTTCCCATAACACCTAGGACAGCTAGGCAGTATGGTGCATTGGACTTGAAGTCAGGAGGACCTCTGAATTCAAATGTGACTTCAGACATTTAGCTTTGTGACTGTGGGCGCATGGCTTCCTCATCTGCAAAACAGGGATAATAATTACATCTATCTCCCAGGGTGTTGTGAGGATAAATGAGACATTTGTAGAGTGCTTTGCAAAACATAAAGTGGATATATAAATGCTGGCTATTATTATGTAAAAGAGGATTGATGATAATACTTGGAATAACTACCTCACAGGGTGGTAAAATTCAATTCAATAAACATTTACTAAGTGCCTACTATGTGCCAAGCACTATGCTTAGTGCTAAGGGTACAACAAGAGGCAAAATACAGTCCCTACCCTCAGGGACCTTACAATCTAATGATACAAAGCAAGCTATATATAGGAAATGAACAGAGGGCAGGCATTGGAATTAAGAGGGATTAGGGAAGGTTTCTGGTAGAAGGCAGGATTTGTGTTGGGACTTAAAGGAAACCAAGGAGGTCAGCAATCAGAGCAGAGGAGGAAGAACATTCCAGGAATGGGGGACAGCCAGAAAGAATGCCCAGAGCTAAGAGATGCAGGGTCTTGTTTCCGAAATAGCCAGGAGGCCAGTATCGCTGGATCAAAGATTCGTGAGTAAGGTGTAAGAAGACTGGAAAGGGGGCAGCCGGATGGTACAGTGGATAAAGCACTGGCCCTGGATTCAGGAAGACCTGAGTTCAAATCTGGCCTCAGACACTTGACACTTATTAGCTGTGTGACCCTGGGCAAGTCACTTCGCCCCATTGCCTTGCAAAAAAAAAAAAAAAAAAGACTGGAAAGATAGGAGGGGGTTAGGTTACGAAGGGCTTTGAATGCCAAACAGTATTTTGTATTTATACCTGGAAGCAAGAGGAAGCTACAAGAGTTTATTGAGGGGGGGAGGGAATCACTTTGGTGGCTGAAATGGGGGATAGATTGGAGTTGGGAGAGACGCAGACCCACTAGAAGCTACTACAATAGTCCAGGTGTAAGGCTATGAGGGTCTGCATGAGAATGATAAAGTCTTTCACAATTTTTTTTTGTTCGGTTGTTTCAATCGTGTCCAACTCTTCGTGATCTGATTTGGGTTTTTTCTTGGCAAAGATACTGAACTGGTCGGATCATTTCACAATTCCACCAACAATGAATTAGTGCTCCAATTTTTCCACACCCTCTTCAACATTTACCCTGAGCACATGAATTCATTTTCCCAGTTCCAGCTGCAATGATTCACCAACACCTTTTTGCCCACTCCTTCCTGACTAGCCTGCAATCCAGTGAAGTGATGGACTGGAATGGAGAAGCCAACCCGGGAGGGATACTCTTTAATATCCTAATTGACCACTAGGTGGCAGCAGCACACCACAGATCACGGAAGGCAGGTCAAGGCTTCAAACCCAGAATTACTGAAATCCATTTCTGTGTATTTCGTCTCATCAGATTAGGTGAGAATCATGAATCACAAAGAAAAGAGCCTCTAACCACAGGACCATCTCTGGGGAAAAACTGAGAAACAAACACAGGTTGTTTTTGCTGCCAATTTGCTTTTTCAGAAATAATTGCTGACATGTAAATAGTACTTTCATATAGGATCATATCTCAGATTTAGAGTTGGAAAAGGACCTTAGAGGTCATCAAGTTCAACTACATCACTTTACAGAGGAGGAAACTGAGGCACAGTCAGTCAAAAAGTCAACAAACATTTATTATTAAGCATTTACCATGTGCCAGGCATAGAGTTAAGTTGCACAACTAGTATCTGAGGCAAGATTTGAACCAGGGTTTTTCTGTCTCAATCCTATGGCTCACTCACTATACCACACATGAATGATGGACACACTCTGCCCCAAGAGGACAGGGTAACTTGTCTGAGGTAATGCAACAAGTTTCTGGCAGAGGTGGGGCTAGAATCCAGGTTTCTTCTCTGGGCCAAAGAAGAGTGACTTGCCCAAGGTCACACAAAACCAGTGGCAGAGCCAGAACCCAGGTATCCTGACCCCTGGCTCTATCCTCAAGCTGCTGCTGGATCCAGATATTCAGCCTACCAGAGTTTTAAATAGCCTACCTGTCTCCCAGCAAGGGGGTCTTGAGGATAAAGGAGCTACGTAGTATGGGTATAGATGACATGTCACAGCATCTTTCTGTTGGCTCTTGAGATTCATAAAGTTCCTTTTGTTCTGTCCCCTTCACTTTACAGATGAAGAAATTGTAGCTGAAACATGAACTAACTTTCTCAAGGTCACACACACGGGTAATAAGTAGGAGAGTCCATATTTGAAAACCGGTCTTCTTGATTTCAAATCTGGTGCTCTTTTTCCTGTGTCACACTGATCAGGGGAGCTCGGAGCTGGAAAGGACTCCAGAGAAAGGATATCCAGTGGAATCCATGCAGGAATAAAAATCTCTTCTACAATTTAAGTGACAAGTGGTTTGCAGTTAGGTTTTTTTTTTTTGTGCTTTTTTTGGTGAGGCAATCAGGGTTAAGTGACTTGCCCAGGGTCACACAGCTAGTAAATGTCATGTGTCTGAGGCAAGATTTGAACTCAGGTCCTCCTGATTCCAAGGCCAGAGCTTTATCTACTGTGACACCTAGCTGCCCCTTTGCAGTTAGTTTTTGCTGAAACTCCCAACTAAGGTCGCATCTACTTGGCTCCAGTCCTAGCAATCTCCTCCTCCCCAGCCTTGGAAAGCCTTGAGGTAGCTAAGTAGTGCGCCGAATGGAGCACTGGGCCCAGAGTCAGGAAGACCTGTGTTCAAATCTAGCTTCCGAGGCTGACTATATGAAGCAACCTGTAAAGAAACTCTGGGCACAGGGTTTGCCTCAGTTTCCTCAACTGTGAAATGGGGATAATGATAGCACCGACCTCCTAGGGTTGTTGTGAGTCTCAAATAAGATAATACTTATAAAGTGCTTAGCACAGTGCCTGGCTCATAGTTGGTGCTTAATAAATACTTGTTTCCTTCCTTGGACAGGTCAGTTCTCTGCCTTTGGGCCCAGGCTTCTGCCTTAATAAAGGGGGGAGAACGATCCCAAAGGTCAAAGAAATTGGGTTGGAAGGAACCTGAGTGGAGTTAGTGCATCCCTCAAAGGGCGTCCCTGCCCAGCATCCCAGACCAGCGCTCCTCCTCATCCACCATCTGCCCTTCGGGAAGGCAACATACCCTCTTCAGGACCTTTTCAGGGTACACGGCCAGCTTTCACCACTGGCTTCTATGGAGCCAGAGGACCTGCTGCCATTGACTGATAGGGCAAATAGATGGCTCTTGCGGGCCCTCAGTTTCCTGTGCAAGACAAAGGGTAGGCTGAGAGGATTCCCAAGGTCCCTTGCGGTTCAAGTTCCCAAGAAGCATTGTAAACTCCTCCAGGTTCTGTGACCTTCTCTCCCAGGGCTCCAGGATCCAGGGGCTCAGGCCTCCACCCTGGGGAGCTACTTCTATAGCCTCTGAAGGAGTCAGGGAGGAGGACCAACGTCCCGTCTTGGGACTTTCCTGGATGAATAAGGATTGGTTCTTTTTTTTTTTTTTTTTTTTGGTTAGGCAATGGGGTTAAGTGACTTGCCCAGGATCACACAGCTGATAAGTGTTATGTGTCTCAGGTCGGATCTGAACTGAGGTCCTCCTGAATCTAGGGCCGGTGCTCTATCCACTGAGCCACCAAGCTGCCACTAAGCATTGGTTCTTGAAATGGGGGTAGGGGAAGCCACTGGGACGTCCCAGCAGCCAGCCAGAATCCGGTCCAGTACTTGGCGCGCGCCTTTTGAAGCTCGGGCTTGGGGTAGGGGGTGGGGGTTGGCACCACTCGCTGGCCCTCCCCCGGCCCCACCCCTGTTCCGCCCCTCCGGTCCCTCCCCTCCCCTCCCTCTGCCCCGCCCTGCCCCGCCCAGCCCCGCGCACCTGGGGCGGCCAGCAGCGGCTTTCGCTGCAGCTGCTCCGCCTGGGCCATGGACTCGGACGCGCGCGGGGCGTTCGCGCTGCGCACCTGGGGCCGCCAGCTCCGGCTCGTGGCCGCCGCCTCCTGGTTGCCCAACGTGGCCCTGGCGCTGGCGCTGAGCTCCGAGGTGCTGCTGTTCCCGGTGCCGCCCGCTCACCACTGCCGGCCCGACCCGGCGCTGCTGCCCCCGGAGCTGCGCGCCCTGGCCGGCCCGGCGCTGCTCAACGCCAGCCTCCCGCGCCTGCCGCCGCCCGCCAGCGACTGGAGCCCATGCCTGCTGCTCCGCTACCCGGGCCCGGGCCCCGAGCCCAATGGCACCGAACCCTGCACCCGCGGCTGGGACTTCGCGCGGCCCGCCGCCGGCCTGCTGCGCACCCCCATCACCCAGGTGCGGAGGCCCGAGGGGAAACTGAGGCGTCGCCTGGGCCTCTCACTTCATTTATCAGAGAAGGAAGCCCAGGGGAAGTGACTTGCTCAAAGTCATGTAGGGATTGGAGCCCCGCTTCTTGGCTTCAAACCTAAGGTTCTCTCTGCTGTTGCACCAGCCTGGGGCACCCCAAAGTCCAGGGATACTCAGCTGGGACGCACACGGCCTCACATCTAGTGGATCTGCTGTAAGAGACCAGGGCCCAGTACTGTGTTCAGGCAGGGGACAAGAGGCCCCTAGGTCTGTTAGAGAGACCAGGACTTTACGGCCTGGTGGTCGTGTTGAGTATGAAGTAGAAGCCTTCAAGTATTTGAAGCGCCGTTGGGTGCTGTTCGATGTCGGGAAAAAACCTTCCTACGAGCTGACCAAGAGTGGACGGATTTAGGGGGTAGGGGTTCCTCCTCTCTGGGAGTTTCCGGTGGACCCTGGATGACCAGTTGTTGGAATATTGTTCAGAGTAGACTAGATGGATGCTCTCTCTCAGGCCCCTCCAGCTCAGATTCAATGACCGAAGGGGGCTGTCCTCTCCCTCATCCCCTTTCCCCTCCCTCCCTTCTCCCTCCCTCATTCCCCATCCTCCCCATCCTTTCCTTCCTGTCCTCCATTTCCTCTCAGTTTGAGACTCCCACCTGACACGACAGTCCCGTTGATTCGAGGTCTGCCTCTCATACCGCCTCTGGGTCCCAGAATGGGGCAGGGAGGGGGAAAGGGCTGAATCAGTTTGGGAAAACCACCTGGTCCTACTTTGACTCTAGCATGCTAGATGGGTTGATTGGGGTGGGGGTGGGGAGCTGTGTTGATGAATAAATAGAGAGAGTATTGGACTACGAGTCAGGGGATTTGAGTTCCAATCCCAGCCCTGCCCTCTGTGTGACTATAAGCATGTAACTTCAGCTCTGTGAAAAGAGGTAGCTGAACAAGATGGTTTTTTCAAGTCCCCTCCAACTCCTAGGCTTTGGGATGATTCTCTCCTGGGGAAAATATGGATGAGATAGTGCCTAGCCCTGGATTGCCTCTGGGTCTGGGGGATGGAGATGGGTGGGAAATGGAACACATGATCACCGTGTGACCATTACAGGTGGGTCCTCTGTGTTTTCCTACAGTGGAATCTCGTATGTGGGGATCGATGGAAGGTGCCCCTGGAGCACATGAGTTACCTTCTGGGCTGGTCGTTGGGCTGTGTGACCCTTGGCTCAGCCTGTGACCGGTAGGGGTCCCTGCCCTTTCCCCTCTCCTCTTTTTCCTCAGCCTGGAAGGAGATAGTTCCCTTCTAGGGAGCCACCTTCCTTGTTCTGTGAGTACCCCTCCCCCAATGACACTGGGCTCTGTCAGGCATGAGGATTTCCACCAGGGTACTCATGCCCTCTACCAGCTTAGCTGGCACCCCAATTGTTGGGCCCCCCTCTCTTTCCCTGGCCTTCTCTCACCAACCCTTTGTGCCTGCAGGTTTGGCCGCCGAGCTGTCTTTGTGACCTCCCTGGCTCTGGCTGCAGTGCTGGGAAGTGGGGTGACCCTGGCGATCAGCTACCCCATGCTGCTGTCCCTGAGGCTGCTCTATGGGGCCACCCTGGCCGGTGCCTTCCTCTCCCTCTACGTGGCCCGTGAGTATCAGGGGAGCAGAGGTTCCAGGGAATCCGCTCCACCTGCTCCATGATGTGAAAGACAGAACAGTGTGATGGCAAGGCTGTCAGGCCTGCCGTCAGGACACCAGTGTCATCCCTGATTTTTACTGGCTGTGAGATCTTGGACAAACAATGCAACTTTAGACCCCACTTCGCTTGTCTATAAAATGAAGCCTATCCTTCTTGCCCTATTCAATGAAGTCGTAGATTTAGAGCTAGAAGGGCCTTGGACAATCAGCACCAACCCCCTCCTTTGTAGATGAGGAAACAGAGGCACAGAGTGCTTATGTGGCTTGCCCAGCCGTGTACACAACCCGTACGGGATTTGAACCCAAATCTTCTTACTCCTGTCCATTATATTCCATGTCCTTTCCTAAATACCTGCTGTGCTGGAATCTGGGGATACAGAGTCAACAAAGAAGTGGTCCCTGCCTTCAAGGCTCTTACGTTCTACTGGGGGAGAGGGGAGATGCATATCTCCCAGCTTTGCTGTAAAGAAAGCTCATGGTAAACCTATGTGCTCTAGAAAGAGATATCGGTGACCTAGAACCTTCAGGCATCCCCCCAGCCCCAAGTACTTAATCCTTAGGCTAAAACCAGGGAATCAGGGGTGCCTGTGTCCATATTTCCTCTATCTTTTCCTTTATGGAACTTTAGAACCCCCCCCCCCCACCCAACTATGAGGACAGGTTGGGGCCTTATTTTTGGTAGGTGCCTGGTAAATTGAGGTAGATCCCAGAGAAGGAAGGTGACCAGTTAAGGGGGCAGGATTGGTACCAGGGCCATGATGGAGGGAATGCCACAGTGAAAATGGGGGGGGGGGCCCGTGGCTGGGGGGCCAGAAGGCAAAGGGGCAAAGCAGCTTCATGGGGGGGGGGGGGGGGGGGGGGAGGAAATTGGTGCTCTCGAGGCATGAGCAGAGGGTGGGAGCGCCTCTCCTGTTTGCCCAGTGAGCTTGAGTGTTTACCCACAGAAGGAATGAGTGTTCCTGGTTCTGATGTTGCAAGACCCCTCCGGGAATGTAGATCATAGCATGTCAGTTTGGGGCCCCCTTCTGTCCTAGGAGAGCAAGAATGTTGGGAGCTAAGTGGGGCCCAAATGGGGGAAGTCGCTGCTCGATGTCAGAAAGCTCAGGAGGGAAAGAGGAATGCCCAAGGAGGCCAACCTGTCCCTGATCCCTGCCCCGCCTTGGTGTTGTCTCCCCATCCACCGGTTCTTCCATCCTGGCAGGGCTGGAGCTTTGTGACCCCGACCATCGCCTCCTGTTCTCCATGGTGGCTGGCCTCTTCTTTGACGCTGGGGAGATCCTGCTGCCAGGGCTGGCGGCCGTATGTCAAGACTGGAGGCTCCTGCAGGGTCTGGTGACCCTCATCCTGGGCCTGGTGCTGTTCTTCTGGGGGTGAGTGCCCTTCAAGGCTGCTGTCCTCGCTCCACCCTGGGGTACATGGGCTCCCAGGGCAGGGACAGACAGAGAGGTCCTCAGGCTTCTGGGCTGGAGCCAGGAAAGGCTACTGAACTAGGAGTCTGGTGACTTGGCTTCAGTCCCAGGCCTGCTGATTCCTCTCTCTGGGTTTTCCTTCATTTCCTCATCTATAATCATAACTCCAATTTCTATGGTGTCCTGAAGTTTACAAAGCACTTTCCTCCCAATAGCCCTGTGAGGTAGGTGGTATGAGTAGTATGGTGATATGCCCATTTCACAGATGAGGAAGCTGAGGGTAAGAAGGACTAACCCCTGGATGCCTTCTTTCCAGTCTGGCGCAGTGCTCTTTCCACTACTCTCCATCCTTTGTGGCCCATCTGGTGCCACCTTTTCCATGAAGCCTTCTCCAATCCCCCCAGAAGGATGTGACCTTTCGGTAGGCAGCTGGGTGGAAAAAGTGGGATAGTGTTGGACTTGGAATCAGGAAGATCTGAATTCAACCCCTGCCTCAGACACTTTCTAGCTGTGTGATCCTGGGCAAATCACTTTAACCTGTCTGCCTCAGTTTCCTCATCTGTAAAAAATGGGCAGAATATTGGCACCTACCTCCCAGGGTGGTTGTTGTGAGGAGGATTAAATGAGTTAATATTTGTAAAGTGCTTTGCAAGCCTTCCTTTAAAAAGCACTATATACAAGCTTACAGTTGTTATCATCACATCGCTTACCTTCTATCCCTAATGTGTAAAGTGGAGATCATAACAGCACCTCACTCCCAAGATTTTGTGAGAATCAAGTTAGATAACATCTGGAAAGTACTTGGCAAGCCTTCATGTGCCATCAAAATGCTGGCTCTTAGAGTTACTCAGAAGATTAAGTCACACGCTGGCTCTCCCCTCACTCAGGATGGTTCCATTTCTCTCATTACATACTCTTGGCATCCAGGTCTATCTGATTGGAAGTTCCCATCATTCCATGCCCTCCTGTGCCTCAGCTCTTACACCCACTCCTTGCCCTCATTGAGACTTGCATTTCCTCCCATCCCTCTGTCCCGCCTCAGGTCAGTACCCTTCCTCACTCTTGGCTTTTCTCTCTTTCCAGTCTTGACCCCATTGGTAGCCATTTCACCTCTACACTTTTCCCTGCTCTCCGATCCCTTGCTCCTTCCTCGGTGGCTGCCGATCCCTTGCATGCGTCAGTGCTGGGTCACTCCCCCTGCTCCCACCCCCCCATCTGCTTCCTCTGCTCCTCTATGTGATGCTGCGTCATGAATAAAGTCCCGCAACGGTACCCTGCCTGTACGTGGCACAGTGTGTATTCACGACAGCCAACTTCAACTGGGCCCTCATTCCGGCAAGGCAATCCTTTTTCCACTCTAATTCAGTCCTGACCCTCTCTCTCTTCAGAAGAGTTTGTCCAGATCTTTCCATCTCTTTTCAAGCCTCCCACATCTCTCTCTCCCCTCTCTCAGGTGAGGACCTCATTTATTTGACCAAGAAAATATAAGGGGCTTTTAATCTGAGTTTGCTCTCCTCCCTTTTTCTTTATCTCAAAACCCTCTGACATCATCTCCCACATTTCCAAATCCCCTCATTCTTAAAAAGCCTTCACTAGATTCTACTATCCCTTTAAGATATTGTCCTATATTTCTCTTCTCTTCAGCCAAACTCCTAGAAAGAAAGCCGAATATACTCACCACTCCCATTTTCTCTCCTCCCACCGGCTGCTTGGTTCTTTGTAATCTATTCCTGTCATCATTTGATTGAAAATGCTCACTCTAAAGTTACCGGTGATTCTTGGTTGCCAAACTTGATGTGTTTTTTTTTTTCAGCCTTCATGATTTCTTGACCTATCTGCTTCATCTGACACTGTAGATATCCCTCCCTCACTAGACACGCTTTCTTCTGTGGGTTTTGATGACATTATTCTTTCCTGGTTTTCCTTCTACTCGTCCGTTGGCTCCTTCCTGTTCTCCTTTTTGGACCCATCAGGTCCCCTGGATGTGGATGTTTCCCAAGGCCCCGTACCAGGTTTCTTCTTCTCTTCTTGTGTCCTCTTGTCTCGTCCCGTCTCTATCTGTCTCTGTTTCCCATCAGCTCGCAGAGGTTTAATGACCATCTCTGTGCTGATGGCTCCCAGTTCAACATATCCAGCCCTAGTCTCTCCCCTGAGTTTCAGTCCCACATCATCAGTTGCCAAAGCGGATGTCCTGGAGACATCTCCAGTCAAAAGTCTCCGAAACGGACCTCATTCTCCTCCCCCCGAGCCCAGGCTCTTCCAAACTAACATGTTTCTGTCGAAGGCACCGCCATCTTTCCTGGCTCTCAGCTGCGTAACTCCCACATTCTCCTTGGCAGCTCACTCTCCTTTGCTGCACATAGCCAACCACTTGCTAAATCTTGCCCATTCTGCCTTCACAGCCTCTCTCACATGCAGTCACCTCTCTGCTCACACAGCTGTCCCCTTGCTTCAGGCCCTTCTCACCTCTTACTTGGATTAGCCTTTCTGGTGCCCGCCAACTCCCTACCTACCATCTATTTCATTTCCTTGTATTTATTTCTTATCCTCCTTTATTCTGCATCTGTCTGTATACATCCTTGGTCTCTCCCTCATTCAAAAGAGTTCCTTGTGAGCAGGGATTGTTTCATTCTCTTTGTATTTCTGGAGCCCAGAACTTTGCCTGGCACACAGTAGGTTCTTAAGAAATGCCTGTTGATTGAGTGAGTGATACATCAACCTGGCACACAGACCATGTCATACAGTCATGGATTCAGAGCTAGGAGGGACCCCATTTTATAGAGGAAGAAACTGAGATTCAGCGAAACTTACCCAGGGCTTGCCTTCCACATCTGGTGGCCTTGATGAGAGGACTAGATCATAGAATTATAGATTTAGCAGTAGAAGGGACCACAGGGACCATCAGATCCAACTCTCTCATCTTATAAAGGATTAGCAGAAACTTAGGTTAAGTGACTTGGTCAGGGTCACACAGCTAGTAAGTGGCTGAGGCAGGATTTGAACCTAGCTCTTACTGACCTCAAGTCCAGCATCTTCTGGCTCTAAAAGTCCAGGAGACAGACTCTTAGCTGCTATGGGACAAGATAGGAAAGCATCCAAGGTTCTGACCTTGTTTCTTAATGAAGGATCCTGCAGAAGATCTGTCTGAGCCAGGCTTGGGAGCTGGGGAGTCACCATACCAGCCTGGATCCCTGGGGCTTTACTGAGTGGGACAGAGCCCCTGGGGTGGGGTGATGTGGGAGTAGCTCCAGGAGCACAGAGGCTTCAAGGAACTTCAGCAAACCCTGGCCTCTGTGTCATGTGCTTGCAGATTTCCTTCGATGTTCCCAGAGTCTCCCCGATGGCTGGTGGCCACTCAGCAGCCGGGCAGAGCCAAGGAGATCCTGTGGCACTTGACAGGGGCCAACCTCAAGTCTGAGGACTCCACCCCCGAGAGTGCGACTCTGGCTGTAGGTGAGACCTCTCACCTGCGCCGTTCCCTCCGTCCTCTCTCATCTCCATGCCTTTGCATTGGCTGGGCCCCACACCGGGAATGCACTTCCTCCTCCTCACCTCTGAGAATTCCTAGTTTCTTTCCAAACTCAGTTCATTGGTCACCTCCCATGCAATGTCTCTTTGGATCCTCCTCTGTCCCTCCAGAAGAATGACTTAGTCTTTACTTTGCATATGCCCACATATGTGTATATAGTCACACAATACACATACTCTGTACACACATTCATATACTATATACACACATGTACATATTCACACACACAATGCATATACTATATATAATGTGCATGCTCCATACACGCATATATGCCCATACCATATACACATGCACATGCATATACAAATATATATGTATATATTAACACAATACACATATGAATACACATACAGGTACTATATACATGTATACATGCATATACTATATACACATACACACAATGCATATACTATATATACATATGTGTACACTATACACACAATACATACATACACAATGCCTATGCTGTATATATTCACATATACAATGCCTATACTGTATATATTCACACATAATGCATATACTATATATACATATGTGTACACTATGCATATATGCGCTTATACTATATATCCACATACACACCTACATAGATGCATATATTCACACACATTCGCATATTAATACCCACGCATATGCTATATACACATATACACGCATGTATGACATACACATGTACATGCATATACTATATACACACACACATGTATATATTCACATACACAGTGCATATGCTATATATGCATGTGTGTACTCTATACGTTTATGTACCTATACTATATATGCACATGTATACACATACGCACACATATATATTCACACACATATTAATAAACATGTATGTACTATATAAATACATACACGTATATACTATACACACATACACGCATGTATCTATTCACATGCACAATGCATATACTATATATGCACATGCATACATGTATACACACCTACATAGATGCATATATCACACACATTCGCATATTAATACCCATGCATATGCTATATACACATATACACGCATGTATGACATGCACACGTACACACACATACTATATACACACATGTATATATTCACAAACACAATGCATATACTATATATACATATGTATACACTATGCATATATGTGCTTATACTATATATACACATACATACATATATACACACCTACATAGAAGCATATATTCACACGATTCACATATTAATACCCATGCATATACTATATACACGTACACATGTATATATTCACATACACATGTACATGCATATACTATACACACACATATATTCACATACACGATGCATATGCTGTATATACATATGTGTACTCCATACATTTACATACCTATACTATATATGCACGTGTATACATGTACGCACATATATAGATATATATTCACACACATATCAATAAACATGTACGTGCTATATACATGCATACATGTAGACACTATACACACATACACGCATGTATATGTTCACATGCACAATGCATATACTGTATATGCACATGCATACACTATACACACATATATACCTATACTGTATATACACATGTATACACACACACACACACACTCATATATAGTATTATATGTACACATATTGTTCCCTGTCCCCCCCGGAAGATAATGCTTGAGGGTTATTTTAGTTTTGTCTCTTTTCCCTGCATCTAGTGCAGAACCTGGCCCATAATAACAATAATTAATAATAACCGACATTCATATATTGCTTTGCAGAGGGATTCAGCATGCATTTGGTTTGTCTGAGCGTCACAACAATTATCCAATTATCATTGGCATTAGTCTTTTTCGGAGGGACGGGTGGCTGGGTGGCTGGGTGGCTGGGTGAGTTCCGGGGAGAAGAGCCTCTCTGGTCATTCGGGCAGGAGGAGCAGGAGGAGAGGAGTGAGGCTAAGCTAGTGCAGGGTCTCTGGGGGTGGCCCTTGCTTTGGACACGGTGCCTCCTGACGACCAGGAATGGACAGAGATGAGCTGCCCAGGCATCTAAGTGAATACAGAGCTGGCCTCGGGGGTCCAGGGGACCTGGATGCTTCCTCGGTGGTGCCACCCTGGGCAAAGCTCTTATTGTCTTCTGGCTCCAGTGTCCCCGTTTTACAAATGGGGATGATAATACCTGTAACACTTATCCAACACGGCTGCTGCAAAGCTACGTGTTATTATCAATGTCATTTACGAAGTGCATTCACAGACATTATCCCCTTTGATTTTCATGGAAGCTGGGGGGGCGGTATGCAGAGCAAGAATCAGGAATCCCATTTGGTAGTTGAGGAAACAGGGTCAGAGACATGAAGCAGCTAGCCTGAGGTGGCCCAGCATAGTGGCAAAGTGAGGCCTCGAACCCAGCTCTTTTCAGTCCCAACCAATCGATCTCTGCACAATATGGCCTGGAGTTAGTCAAGAAAGATCACATGAAGAAAAGATTCCTAGAATCTACAAGGACTGCAGTGAGCAGGATAAAAACACAAAAATGAAGGCCAGTGGGCAACTAAGAAGCCAGTCACGGCCCTGGAGAAGACAATGAGCGTGCCTCTTTCCTTTCCTCGGAGAGGCGGGGGACCAGGGGGATGGAATGGCACATGCACCACCAGGGACGGTTCTGGTGTCAGGTGGTTTTGGCTTTGCTGATTTTTTTGTTGTTACAAGGGAAGGCTCCCCGTGTGTGTGGGGAGGGAGGAGGGGGGAGTCTGGCAGCTGCCGAGGATGCGGGTGTAGACACAAAAGACCCTGAGAAAACTTGAACCTTTTTAAGCTCCAAGCTAGCCACAGCCTCAGCAGAACCAAGCTTTGCACTTTCCCTTCACCCGTGGTGTACTCCTGGACAGGTTGCTCCCTTAGCTTCTCTGAGCTGCAGTTTTTCCCATCTGAAAAATGGGGATATTCATGCTTGTACTACCTGCCTCGTGGAACCCCCAATGAGGACCCTAAATGAGATCGTGTCAAGTGTTTTGAAGACCGTAAGGCAGAATAAAGTTGTTGTTGTTGAGTTGTTTCGGTCATGGCCCACTCTTTGTGACCCCATTCGGGGTTTTCTTGGCAAAGACACTGGAGTGGTTTGCCATTTCCTTCTCCAGCTCATTTTTTAAAAAAAAATTTTCTTAATTTTTTTTTTTAGGCAACTGGGGTTAAGTGACTTGCCCAGGGTCACACAGCTATTAAGTGTCAAGTGTTTGGTCTGAGGTCAGATTTGAACTCAGGTCCTCCTGACTCCAGGACCGGTGTTCTATCCACTGTGCCACCTAGCTGCCCCTCCAGCTCATTTTACAAATGAGGAAACTGAGGCAAACAGGATGAAGTGACTTGCCCAGGGTCACACAGCTAGTAAATGTTTGAGGCCTGATTTCAGGCCCAGCACTCTATCCACTGTGCCACCTAGCTGCCCCCAGAATAAAGATGTTAGCTATTAACAATGACTAGCATTTAGAGAATGCTTTAAGCTTTGCAAAACTCTTTACAAATATCTCATTTGATCCTCATAACCACCCTGGGAGCTCAGTGCTATTAGGACCCCCATTTTATGGTTGAGTAAACTGAGGCAGGCAAAATTAAGTGACTTGCCCATGGTCACATATCTGGTAAGTGTCTGAGGCTGGATTTGAACTCAGGTCTTTTTAACCCCAGGCCCAGCACTCTATCCACTGTATCACCTATCTGCCTTTATTATTATTAAAGCTTAAAGTGATATAGAAATTAAATTGCAATGTGATGATGCTCCTGGAGATGGGATTTGAAGGACATTTGAGTAGGTGAAGGTACAGGAAGAGCATTTAGGTGTTCAGCTTCGCCACATTTATTGAGCACTTGCTATGTTGGAGAAGCTGCCAGGAGCTGGGGATTCAGAGGCCACGACTGTCTGGGTTTCTGGAAGCAGGAATGTGTAGGAGTGTATATGGAGAGAAGTCAGGCTGACAAAGGCAGTGAGTATATGTGGAAGGGTACTATTGATTTGGGAGCATTGAATGCCAGGGTGAGGAATTAGGGCAGAATTCCATCCATCATGAGAAGCCATGATAGAGAAAGACTGTGTGTGTGTGCGTGTGCGTGTCTGTGTGTGTACGTACATGTGTGTACAGGTGCATGTGCTAGGGACATATCCCTGCCCTCTTGTCCCAAAGGCAGATGTTAGGGGGATGGAGAGATAATATGTACTGAGTTCCTCCGGCGGACTATTCCTGGGTGTTTCATTGAGACACGAGGGTGTCTGTTCCTCAGTGGTCCACTATGGCCCCTCCCTGGTGGGATCAGGTGGGGAGGCTGCGGTTATTGTTTCTCGGCCTTTTCATCGTCTTCCCCCGATCTGGGCCAGGCTCAGCTAACTCTTTCTTTTCCTTCTATCCAGAGTTAGATGGGCTGTCTGAGGGGAAGGCCTTGCCCCAGTACCACTCCATCTTTGAGGTCTTCAGCACTCAACTTATCTGGAGAAACATCCTCATTCTGGCCTTCACCACGTAAGGCACTACCCCGTCAAAGCAGGGAGTCAGAAGGGACCAAGGCCCGCAGGGGTGCTGGGCTGTAATGGCTGTGGGCAGGAGGATGTTGGGATGTGTGGCTCAGAGTCGGGCGTGACTGGGGAGCAGTCCGAAGAGCATTCTTTGTGGGTCACCACCTCTCTAGGCCTCAGCTATCTCTTCTATAAAATGGGGCTGATTTCCTCTGACCTTCTCAAAATGGCAGCTGTGAAGGCAGCACTTAATAAACTATAAATTACTATGTAATTGGGAGTTATCCCTACCCTCCCTGGGCCTTTCTACCTTTAATGGCCTTCTTTGGCTCCTCTTATGAAAAGGTACAGAGACACCAGCATAAGTTCAGCATAAAGAAAAAACGTTCTGACAATTAGGACTATGCTGAAGTGGGATGGGCAGCCTTGGGAAAGCCCCCTCCATGGGAATTCTTCAAGCAAGGCTACCTTGGGATAGCCATCCCTTGGGAATGCCACCTATTCAACAACGGGGGTTGTCCTGGGTACATCGACTCTAAGCGATCCCTGAATTCAGACAAGGGAGAGGTCAGTGACAGCAGAATCATTGAGGAAAGCTTCCCAAAGGAGGCTGGGGGCAGGACCTATTAGCACGGGCCTCGAGTAGGGGTCAGATCATGATGACCGAGAGCCAAGCCCGCCAGTCTGGTGGAACCTGGATATCCTGTCTCAGAATAATGCTTTTAAATGCACAAAATAAAATCCACAGGATTACAAAGGAAACCAAAGATTAGTGAAAATAAACATGTAGTGTTTTTTCCTGTTCAGCTTCATGGACCCCCTGAAATCCCCCCATGAGCCCAGGTTAAGAACCCCTGGACCAAGATGCCTTTTGAGGTCTCCCTCCGGCTCTGAGATTCCTCTTCTGTCCCCCTAGGCAGCATCCTCAGCGTCCTCCTAGGCCTGAGGTCATTCTGCCCCCTCCAAGCCTCACCCTGCCTCCTTCCCTTCACAGCTTGCTGGGGAATGGCATCCAGTACAGCTTCACGCAGAACTTGGCCCCCTATCTGCCCCACTTCTACCTGCCCTGTTTCTTGCTGACCGGGCTGGAGGCAGCCGCCAGCCTCCTGCTGATTCTGATGGCCCTGTGCTGTGGCCGCCGGGCTAGTCTGCTCCTGTGGACCGTCCTCACCAGCTTGGCCTCCCTGCTCCTTCTCTCCCTTGGCCAGTGTAAGAGGAAAGCAGGGCCTTGGGAGCAGAAGCGGGTCTGGGGTGGGGAGGTGGGGTAATGACGCAACAGGTAATGGAATTTCCAGCCTGGAAGAAGTCCATCCCCACCCCCATTTTATAGATGGAGAATTTGAGCCTAGAGAGGGGAGTTTGTCTAAGGTTACACCAGGGCTCTCCAACCCCTCCCTCCCAGTTCAGCATTCTTTCCACTGGCTCCCTTCCCTTATGGGGTTTTCAGTGTAGTTGAGGAATTTAGAGGACGCAGATGAAATCACAGAACAGCGTGATGTCCTATAGAGCATGCTGGATTGGGGACCAGAGTACCGGGGTTCACATTCCAGGTCTGCCACTGTTCTCTGTGTAACCTTGAACTAGGGGTGCAGTGGATAGTGCTGAACCTGGAGTCGGGAAGACCTGAGTCTGAATCCGGCCTCTGATACTTACCAGCTTTGTGGACCTGGACAAGTGTCTTGCCTCAATTTTCTCATCTATTAAATGGGGATAATAATAGCACTTCTCTCCCAAAGTTGTTGTGAGGATCAGATGAGATAACGTACGTAAGGTCCTTTATAAGCCTCAAAGCACAATATAAAAGGCAGCTGTTATTATTATTGTTATTAGACAATTGACTTTAATTTTTCTAGGCTTTCTTATCATAAAGTGATCAGGACGAGATAACTTGTCAGGTCCCTCTCAGTTCCAAATCTGTGCTCCTTTGACATTGACTCTAAGTGACACCCAGATTCAGACAAGGGAGAGGTCAGTGCCAGCTGGAATCACTGGGGAAGGCTTCCTGGAGATGGAGCTGAGGCTGGAAGTTGGACCTGTTACAAAGGGCCCTGAACAGGGATCAGATCATGGCTGGAGAGAGACAGGTTCCTGTTCCAGTCACCCCAGAGAAGGGGCAGGGGCTCGGGAAGGACCCTCCCTCCCTGGGGGTGCGGTATCCAGCAGAAGCAGGTGGTCAGCCAGGGCTGGAAGGGGTCGAATGAGCAACGGCCCCAGCGCCTCTCTCATTTCCTCCCAGACCTGCCCATCTGGATGGTGGTGTTTCTCTCTGGACTGGGGCTCCTGGCCTCCCAGGCCATGTCTGTGCTGAGCGTCTTCTTTGCCAGTGAGATCCTCCCCACCACAATCAGGTAGGCACTGCCCCAAGCCCAGGGGTGGAGGGGTGGAGGGGTGCTGCCCACAGCAGGTGCCATACTTCTGAACACAGCTATTCCTCCTTCCCACATGGCCATGCCACCCCACATCTCCCAGTATCCTGCTGCTGCCTGACATTCTAGCTTTGCTATCTCCCTGTGGATCTCGTTCTAAAACTCCTGGGATGGCAAAAGATTAAGACCTTGAACCTGTGAATGAGTTTACCCTGGGGGTGTAGGGTGTGGGGGGTGGGTCTGGTACATCCTGAATACTCTTGATATCCGGGCCTGGGACTGCCAGGGCAGGAGTGGAGGAGGGCAAGGAGAGATAGCCTGGAGGGAAAAGAGATTTGTCCCTTTTGCCTTTTTTTTTTCTTGCTTGGGGGAGGGAGAGGAGGAGAAAGGAAGAGAAGTTATTTTCCCAAAGGTTTTTCAGGTTTTTTTCCCCTGTACCTTCACATTTCTAGATGAAAGTTGAGAAAGAGCGAGTTGGCTTGAGGGCCACCCTCATCCCAGCCTCATGTTCTGTGTTTGTCTGGGGTGGGGTGGAGGGTGGAAAGGAGTGTAACTTTCAGGTTTTCCCACTCACTTCTCCCCATTTCTGACCTCTGCCCCCACCCCACATTTCCTCCAGAGGAGCTGGGCTGGGCCTCATCATGGCAGCTGGTTTCCTGGGCCACGTGGCCACACCCATCATGAGCATCTCCAATACCCGAGGCTTCTTCCTCCACCATGTGGTGTTTGCCTCTTTTGCGGTCCTTTCCATGCTCTGCATCCTGTTACTACCTGAGAGCCGGGCCCGGAACCTCCCCGAGTCCCTGGAGGATGCTGAGGGCCAGCGGTCCTCCCCGCTCTTCCGGCCCTGCTGGCACCAGCCCCAGGACCACCACGTCCCACTGCTCCTGCCCTCCTGTAAGCAGACCCACTATGGACAGCAGCAATACTCCTGCCCGGTGGTCCCCTCCCAAAGGACTGGTGGCCTATGGCATCCGCCCACCAGGGCTCACCTAGCTATAGAGTTCCAGGCCACACAGGAGTCAAGGCATGCCGGAACTGCAGGAGGCCACCCACAGTAACTGCCCTGGGAAGGAAGGGCTTGGAAAACAGGATGGTGCTTTGTTACTATCGCCCTTATGATTACGGAGAGTGATGAGTCTGGGGTATTGCCCGTGGGCCCTGACTGTCTTCCTCATCACCAGTTCACCTGTTTTCTGGAAGGGGAGGAAAGGAGGGCTCTGCAGGGCAGTCCCCTGGAAACTGCAAAGCTCCCGAGGGTAGGGCAGACTCCCAACTTACCTGGAACTCAAATTCTGGACAAACTAAGCTTTCTCTATGTAAGAGGCTGCTCTGGCCGCTCTCCAGTCACGCTGGGAATTGCTTCTGAAGCCCTCAGCCTCAAGGAATAGTTTTGTTTCTGGGGCAGAATTCCTAACCTCCTGACTGGGTTCGAGGCGGCCCTGGCTTCTCTTTCCCCTCCGTACTTAAAAGCCCCGTGAGAACCACTCTGTCTTCTCTGTGCTTTCCACTGGAAAGACCCTCTGCATCCTCTTTTCTTGGCTTCTCTCCGGATCTTCCAGGACCCCGTTCCTTCCTTCTCTTCTTCCAGCGGTGTTTCAGAGGGCGGTCAGTGAGCATAAACGTAGCTTCTGGCCCCCAGAAAGACCCTGCAGTTTTGTTTCAGAAGATCCAGGGCCTTATATAGAAATGTCTCTAAGGTGGTTTGTTTTTTTTTTTTAATTCAAACTGCATCATGCAGCTAATTCCGCTTATATAAAACACATTGCAACTGAGCTGGGCAAACACTGGGTGGGTGGGTGGGTGGGGGTTGTTGAGGGAATTTCACAGAAAGGTCTGAGCCACACCTGGGAGCTAGGGAGGAGTTGGTAGAAGGAGGGTGTGACCGAACCTCCTTGTGTCTGGGCGGACAGGCAGGATCCCTCTCTGAGGCCCGGCCTGGCTCAGCTCAGCTTGGCACTTCCCCATCCAAGGGACATAGCTTAGGCCTTGGATTTTCATCCTTTTGGATACCTCTTGTCCTATTGCTCCTAGCAGGTTTAACCAGGGGTTGGGAACCTGTGGCCTCAAGGCCACAAGTGGCTCTGTAGGTCCTCAAGTGGGGCCCTTTGAGTCCACGTTTTACAGAACAAATCCTTTCATTAGGAGGATTTGTTCTGTGAAGTTTGGATTTAGTCAAAGGGCCCCCCTTGAAGACCTAGAGGGCTATGTGTGGCCTCTAGGCCATGGGTTCCCCACCCCTGGGTTAACTCAATAGCACCATGAGCTTTTGCTTCCTCAGAGGCACATGAGGTACCATACAGCACCCCTGACCTTGTAAGAATAAGGCTTAAGAAGTCCAATCCCACGCTTGAATGTGGTTGGAGCTTGGAATGGACTGTGGCTTTCTCTCAAAGGGGCTGACTGGACCCCTTGTGCCTGCCTGTCCCCCCGAAGGTCTGAAACCTCAGGGTGAGGCTATGGGAGGCGAAGGGGTTTCCCCTGGAGAGCTAGCCCTCTGGCGTGGTCCGAGGAGGCCACCTCACCACTCTGGGTCCGATCTAGGGCACCCCACCTAGGTCTAAATGGAGGGAGCAGTGGGTAGAGCTCAGGGTGAAGGAGAAGGTTCCCCTGGCTCTCAGTGAGCCCCCTGGGATGGATGGTGGAGAGGGCCCGGCAGCCACGGGAATGTCTGAGCCCCCAGAAAAGGGCAACGTGCTGAGCCTCACAGCTGCAGCTCTGCCCCTCCTCCTCTCTGTTCTCACCAGCTCCCCTGCCCCTCGGAAAAGGAATAGTTTAGCTCTCTCTCCCCCGCTGCACCCCCAAGTCCTCCCTGGCCCTCAGTGTTGCCCGTACATATCCGCCAGCCGAGTGAATCTGGGCCCCCAGTCCCTGAGGTAATCATAATCCTGGTCCTCATCTCCCAAACTTGAGAGAATGGAGCTGAGCGTTCCTGCCAGAGAGCCTTCTCCCTCGTAGTCATAGATGAGCGCTGTGTCATAGGGTGGGACGCTGGGGTCGTTGTCAGCTGCTTCTAGACCCTGGTGGCACAGGAGGGACAGGGAAGCTGGGGTTATGCCTCAGGGCTCTGTTTGGTGGATGCTCCAGGGCCAAGGGCCAAGGGATTAAAAAGCCATCCCAAAATCAATTTAAGGAAAATAATACGAAAGGCAGAGATTCTGGCAAGAGGGATCGTACGAAGTGGGGCACTTCTCACGCTTTTTTGGGCTCAGGCGCCCTTTATGCTCTTACAAATTATTGAGCTTTTGTTTATGTGGGTTAATCTATTGGTACTCATTGCATTTGAAACTAAAACATCTTAGGATTATTATGAAAATAGCTTTGACCTTGCAGGCCCCCTGGGAGGGTTTTGGGGACCCCTAGACGTCCCTAGACAACTCTTAGAGAACTGAGATAATGTATCTGAAAGCCAAAAAGATGTGATTTTTGCACGCTGTGCTGTTTGGTTTTATTGATGCTGTTGCATCCCCTTCGCTCGAGATCACGGGAGTCTCCCAGCTGGATTGGGATGGATGGGAGGTCCTGAGGAAACGGAGGCCGTGGCCCCAGGACTATGAGGATTATCCTTATATTATATATATTATATTATATATTATAGGAGAAGACATGAAACGTGCATTGATGGGTTCTGTAAAAACACACATTAGGGGAAGGACACTAGAGGGACAGTTTCTTGCTTTGGGGAAAAGAGAAATCATGGGAAACTCTGGTCTGGGTTTGTTTTTTTTTTTTTTTTTTTTAACAAGGCTGTGTCTAGTCACTGCTTAAGAAGAAAGGGGTTTTTTCCTGTCCCTCACCTTGGGTGTAGCTGACAACGGCGATCAGAATGATTGGGAGATAATAGGAGGTGAGAGTCCCAGGGACACTAGGAGGGTGCCCACTAGGTCCGTGTCCCTACTCGCTCCGGGAACACTTACATCACTGATGAAGTCAGCAATGTCCGAGGGGCTGGTGGGTAGGGCTCGGGAGGACTGCGGAGGTGCCCGGTGATAGGGGGTGTCCTTTCGCAGAGGCTGTCTCCCCCGAAAGGAGGTCTGAGGCACCAGTTCTGCAGGATGACGAAGCTGGTTGATGTCATAGGCATCCTGTAGCATTGGACAAATGACCGCAACTTAGGCAGCCTCTTTCCCTTTGCCTGGTCCCACCAGAGCTGCTCACAGAGGGTCAGAGAGCAGCCTGGTGTAGTTTACTTTGCTCGCCAGCCTTCTGGGCAACGGGGAGTCAGACCTTGAAAACTTAAACGGTAACTATATGGGACTCTTAGCTTTGGTCTCCCTGGGTGTCCATTTCCTCACCTGTAGCGTAGGTAAGGCATGTGTAAAGCCCCTTCCAGTTCTAAATCCTAGGAAGTAATGGTGTGTTTCCCATTATAAGGTGGACTTTGGGTACTGATATGGCAGCAGGACCCGAGTCCTTGGATACCCCATCAGTGCCCCATCTTCGGCAGCCCTGAATCCTTCTTTGTGGCAACATCCAAAGTGTTGGTACATTCCCTGGGTGAGCCAGGGGAAGGGGCAGTCCTCACTGGGGTAACAGATCAGCTCTGGGAGGGGGACGCACCCGGCCCCTTAGGCTAGCCCTCGGGTTCTTGCTGAGAATTCTCTAGATTTTTGACCTCAATTAGAAGTGGTATTCCCCACATGAGATAATATGTACAATATTTTGCAAACCTTAAAATGCTATATAAATGCTAGCTATTTATTATTGGTATTACTAGGGGACTTAGAAGTCTTCAGTTATCATGCCTCTCCCCAGTCCATCAGGTTGGATTCTTGGGAGAAAGCTCAACACTGTTTATGTAGGCATTTCATCTGTGCCTTGGATCTCTGTCCCTCCCCAAATCCAAAGTGAGGTCCCTGCCCTATTTCTGTACCTGTCTCTGACTCCTCCCCCTCCCTGGCATTCATCTGGTCTCCCTCTCTCCTCCCCTGACCCACTTCCTCTCTCCCCATTTGGTTCCCCTTCCCTCCATCCCTGACCCACCTCCTCTCTCCCTTAGCGGGTCCCTTCTCTCCCAGACTCCTCTGCTCCCTTTCTCACCTGGTCCTCCTCTCCACCTCCCTGCTCATCATAGTTGAGGATATTGTCCCGAACGTCATCCTGCAGCCCGTCCAGTAGCCCTTTCTCTCGGACTCGTTGGCGAAAGCGTTCGAAGATGGCCACCAACAAGATGAGCACTGTTCCCGGGGGGAAGAAGCTCCCATGGGTATGGAAGGGGAGAGCAAAGGGGGCCCTAAATGGGGGGCACAGGGACCTCTGGGTAACACCAGGATGGTATGCCCTAGGAATATGCAAGGTAGGCAGGAGGAATAGAGGGGGGGCCTAAATGGGGCATATGGGGGGTCTCTGGGTGATGCAGAGGAGGTGGGGGAGCATTCCTCAATGAGGAGGACCTCAGATGAGGTTCTCTAGGAGGATGGGGGGGTGAAGGTGAGGAAGGATGCCTTACAGAGTAGAAGGATGACGCTGGCGAGGACGATGACCAGGGCCACGAGGCTGATGCCTGCCCCCCCAGCCAGAAGGGCAGCTGCCCCGGGGGTGCAGACCCCAGCCTCCCCGCAGCGACACACGGTCACATTGAGCAGCTGCTCCAGCTGCTGGGGGGGCTGCCCTGAATCTTGGAGCAGGAGGGCCAGACTGTATAGCCCCTCATGAGCCTCTGTCCGCAAGCGTAACCGGGCGTGAGTCACTGTGAGGAGAGGAGGTTATGGAAGAGGAAGAGAGAGAGGGAAACAGAGAGAGACAGAGACAGAGACAGAGACACACAGAGAGAACACTCTCCCCACCTCTTCCCTGCCCCCCATCCTGTTTCCTCTTCTTTCCATCATCCACTCCCTGTCCCCACCCCTCTAAAGCTCCTTCTAGTCTGGCCCTATTCCTTATCTCACCCTTTCAGTCATTGTATAGCACTGGGTCAAGAGACCTGGGTTCTAATTCCAGCTCTCCAAGCTGCTTTGCTGTGTTACCTTGAGTGAATAGCTTTACTCTTTCAATCTGTTGAAAATGGCGGATTATCATCGCCATCAATCTACAAGGTCTTATTGAGCCCCTACCGGGCATGTTCGTTATAACAATTGACACATAGCACTTGGGGGTTTGCAAAGTAATTTCCACCCATTGCTTCATTTGACCCTCATAACAACCCTATGAATCAGGTGCCATTATTAGTTCCATTTTACAGATGAGGACACTGAAGCTCAGGGAGGTTAAGTGATCTACCTAAGCCACACAGCTAATAAATTTCTGAGGTGGGATTCAAACCCAGGCCTTACTGACCCCAAGCCCCATTATATAGCCACTTCACCTCTAATTTCTCCTCCTTTTTTCCCCCAAGCCCTAAGACCTGAAGTATCCTGAACTCTTTGGCTTAACTTTAGGAAGAAGGTTGGGTTCTCACCATTGAGTTGGCTGATACTCCAGTTTCTGGCCAGTTCAGGAGAGCTGGGGCTCAGTTGGAAGTGGAAGGGGGCCCCATGTGGGGGCAAGTCCTCATCAGTAGCACTGAGGATGAGGCCAGATCCCTGGCCAGGGTCACTGCACAGGGTACCCGTTGGTATGGCCAGGAGTGGTGCATGGTCATTGACCTCCAGAATCTCTATGGACAGGGTGCCTGTGGCTGTGCGAGCTGGGGAGGCTGATGGTACAGGAAGGGGGAGGCTACATGTCATTTCTGGATCTATTGACCCTGCCCTGATCTAGACCTCTGTCTGTGATCCCAGGACACAATTGTGAGCTACAGTGAACTTGGTGCTTGGGAAAGGGGTTGGGGGAATCTGCTTTTCCTATGGGTAGTGGCTGTTAAACACCCACTACTCATCCTGGCTGGTGGAGAGGACATTTCTGTCTAGGAAAGGGTCAGAATAGATAGTCTCTGAGATTCTGTGGTTTCTCATGTCATGGAGAAACTCAACTAGATGATCCTATAAAGTTCCTTCTAGCCCTACCATTCCATGATAGCCGCAAATGGACATCAGTGAATCCAGATCCATCTTCCTTGGGATCTGGAACCCTTAGACCCTGAGACATTCTATACTCTCACCCCACATCCAGACCTCTGTACTTAGGAACATACATGTAACATGTGAAATTCATGGCTATGGACAGCAAGGGTGGTCTCTGTCCATTGCCCCTCAAGCCTATGGTTTTCCATGGGGTAGGGGAGCACCGTGGCCTCACTTCTTCCCCCCACCATCCCCTCACCATCATCACTGGCCAGGATGATGGCTCTATACCAGCCATCTTTGAGGAAGGATGAGGCTGGGTTGATAGCACGCTTAGTCTGGATCCGACCAGTGGCACGGTCCACTTGAAGCCAGTCCTCAGGGTCATAGTCTTTGAAGTAACTGAGGTAAGATAGAGGAAGGATCAGATGTTGGTGGACCTGGGCTTACACTTAGCACAACCTCAATCACACACATCAGCAGAAACTTGGGTGCGTTTTCATGCATACACATGCAGGCACATGCTTTGTGGAATGGTACCATAGCTAAATTATAGATCCTACCCATCAGGCCACTGGACAGAAGCCCTCTCCCTCTTTCCCAGACTGCAGAAGGCCTCTGCAATTTTGGAACCCTGAGGAGCTTTGGTGGGAAGGCCTGAGGCCTCCCCGGCTCTCACCTGATACGCTGATGTTGCTGGGTGTCTGGGTCGCGGGCAAAGAAGGTGGTGACGTCAGTCCCGGGAGCAGCCCCCTCAGCCATGCTGGCTCGAAGAGGGTTGGTGTGGAAGACGGGTGGCTCATTCACATCCTGCACCGCCACAGTCACGGTGGCTATGCCTCGAGCAGCCTTTGGGGCAGTCGCTTGCAGGGGGGCCTCATTCTGCACAGCCACTCGAAGCTGGTACTGCTCTCTGCTCTCATGGTCCAAAGGCTATGGGAACCAAAGGGGCTGGGTTGGTGATACCCAAAGCCTACATCTCCTTCCCACACAACTCCCCTCCCCCAAACATACATGGTTTTGGGCACACATTTGTGAGCCTTGGGGCCTCGGTTTTATCTAGGGCCATGACAAATTTTTTTTTTCACAAAACCCTAACAGGCCCGAATGAGTTAAAAAACAAAAACCTTGGACACCTGGCTAATACAGGGGTGGGGAACCTGGCCCTCTAGGTCCTCAAGTGTGGCCCTTTGACTGAAAGGGCCGTACTTGAGGACCTAGAGAGCCACATGTGACCTCGAGGTTGCAGGTTCCCCACTTCTGCATAGGCTCTGGGACAGAGATAGATGGGTTCCCCCTCCCCACCCATTCCCTCAGTCCATCTTCCCCTGGTATAAACTCCTTGAAAGCAGTCTTCCTATCCCCAGTGCCTGGCACACAGGTGCTTAATAAATGCACATTGATTAATTGGTATGCGTGACAGGCTGCTGGGATGAAGAGTAGCTTTCCTAGGGACAGTGGTGATGAGATGTCTCCAAGCCAAGGAGCCCGGGGGCCAGGTCCTAAAATTGGCTGTGAAAATAGGCAAGGCCCATTGCCCATCCGCCACCTGGGGAGGGTGAGTGAACTTGGAGATCTTCCCACCTACCTGGACTTGGTACAGTCTATGTCCTGGCCTTGCTCACCTTCACCACGGACAGGATACCATCATTGGTCTTGGGGTCTGTATGAATGGCAAACTGCCCCCCGGGGTCTCCCTCCAGAATGGTGAACTTGGCCACCCAGTTGGGAGAGCCAGGAAGGTCCTTGTCCTGAACCTCGAGCCTCCCCACATCTATTCCACCGACGGCCTCATCTGCTCTCATGGAGAACTAGGAGAGAGGCCACAATGCCCAGTTACTGCCCAGGAAGAACAGGGGTTTGGTGTGCGAGGGAGGTCTGATTGACGGGTGTGATCTCTCTGGGGATTGGATTTTGATTGATAGCTTGTATGACCTTGGGAAAGTCACTCTCTCTAGGCTTCAATTTCTTCATTAAAAAAAAATAAGGATTATACTAACTGCCCTCTATACCTCATGGAGTTGTTCTGCGGGAAGTGCTTTGTGAACCTTAGAACTCTGTTTGAACGTGAGCCGCTCTTTTCATTCCCGGCTCCACACAAGGCTGGCCGTCTCTAGGCAGATGTGCCACTCATCTCCGTATCTAGCCCTAGTGAGTGTCTCTCCAGGGCTGCAGTCCTGTGTCACCAGCTGCCTATTAGACATTTCAAACCTGAGGTCTCTGAGGCACCTCAAACTCTAACTGACCCAAACAGAATTCATGACTTTTATACTCAAACCCACTCCCTTTACCATCCAGGGGGCCGCCATTTTGCAAATCACCCCAGGTCACAACTCCAATATCCTCCTTGACCCCTCACTCTTACTGCACATATCCAATCATTAGCTAAAGCTCATCACTTCTACCCTACTGCTTCTCACCAACAAGACCCCTCCATTCCATTCACACTAAAGCTCCCACCCTAGTTCAGGCCCTCATGACTTCCCAAATGAACTATCCCAATGGCTTCCTGTTTGGTCATGCTGCCTCTAACCTCTCCCCTTTCCAATCTGTATTCCACAAAGCTGCCAATGGGATTTTCCTTAGTTGAAGGAAAGTCCTTAGTCACTCCCCTGCTCTATAAACCTCAATGGTTCCCTTTTATCTCTAGGATCAAATATAAACTCATCCATTAGGTATTTCAAGCCCTTTATAACCTGGAATGCTCTTCCTTCTCCCTCTGTCTGAATCTCTGGTTTCTTTCAAGACTCAGTCAAGTATCGCCTTTTCCATTAAGATGAAGGAAAGGGAATAAATATTTATTATAGCACCTACTATGTGCCATACACTGTGCTAAGTGTTTTACAAATATCTCGTTTGATCCTCACAAGAGCCTTGCAAGGTAGATGCTATTATTATCCCCATTTTACCACTAAGGAAATTGAGGCAAACAGGTTAAGTGACTTGCCCAGGGTCACGCAGCTAGTCAGTGTCTGAAGTAGGATTTGAACTCTAGCCACTAGCTGCTCTGCTGACCCCCTTCACTGCCACCCTAACTTCTAGTGTCTTCTATTCTATGACCACTTTGCATTAACACTTTGTATATATATATTACTCATATAGTCCTATGAATACATACCATCTCCCTGTTAGATTGTAAGTTCCTTGAGGGCAAGGGCTGTATTTACCTTTCTTTGTCTCTCCACTTCTTAGTACAGTGCCTGGCACATAGTAGGTGCTTAACCAATGCTTATTGATTGACTGACCCACCCTTGTCACTCTCAATCATAAGGCAAGCCCTACCCATGATTAACAGCTAAATCGTTTAAAGACTTCTGGAATAGAAGTCTAGGGTGCTAAGGCCAGGACTGGCTTTAGGAGTAGAGAAGAACCAGAGATTCTCACGGTGGACTGGTTGGGGTGGTTGGGGTAGGTGTGGTGGGGGGGGAGGGAGCAGAGAAAGGGGCAATACCTCCTCCCTGGTGAACTCTGGGGCATTGTCATTGATGTCGTCCACGTAGATGATAGCTGTGGCGGTGTTGGCGAGCCCGTCCCCAGACATATCAGCTACCTGCAGTGTCAGATTATATACTCCGACCACCTAGGGGAGAGGGAAGGAAGGCCAGGGCAAAGAAATGGAGTGAGACCAGAGATAAGGGCACAGTCTTAGAGAGCTAGGAGAGGTCAGCAGCCATCTGGAGAGTTCACTCATCTGCCTGACTGCTGGAGACGTCTGCAGAATGAGGAGAGGGATAAAGAATTCTGGAGAGATCTCTTGGAACTTCAGAATCAGGGACTGATTCCCAGACTAGGGGCCTTTCTGGTGGGCCAATGCCGAGGGATGAGATTCGGGATGGAATGGGTAGAAGGAAGCTTCAGAGGTCAAAGTTTGTCATCGCTTGCTCCGCAAAGCTCCCTGCCCTCCCCAACTGGGGCTTTGGGAAGCAAAGCTGGCTCAGGAGTCCAGCACCTCAGAAGGAGGGCGGGCTCCTGGGTGGATCGCTGCTAGGGGGTAGAAGTAATGAGCAAATGAAGAAGTCCCCCCCTTGTCCCCGCTGCTGACAGAGTCATGGCCTGAAGCTAAAAGAGGGCACCAGAGGGTACGGCTCCCCCCTCCACTACCAGTGTGGGCACACCTTTCCAAGCTGGCAATGGATAGAGTGATGGGCTAATTTTCAGGAAGACCTGAATTCAAATCTGGCCTCAGACACTTACTAGCTGTATAACCTTGGGCAAGTCACTTAATCTCTCTCACCCTCCATTTCCTTATCTGTAAAATGGGGATAATAATGGTACCTCCCTCCTCCCTCCCCTTGGGTTGTCATGAGAATTAGATAATATATGTAAAACTCTTTATAAAACTTGACGCACAATATAAGTGCCATTATTGCTATAATTATCATCATTTGGAAAAGCTCCCAGGAAATCAACAATGCTTTGTTATTGTTGCTCAGTTGTGTCCAACTCTTCGTGACTAACCCCATTGGGGGTTTTCTTGGCAGAGATGCTGGAGTGCTTTGCCATTTCCTTCTCCAGCTCATTTTACAGGATGAGGAAAGACAGACAAACAGGGTTAGCGACTTGTCCAGGGACACACAGCTACTAAGAATCTGAGGCCAGATTTGAACTCAGTTCTTCCTGATGCTAGGTCTAGCACCCTATGCACTATGGCGCCACCTAGCTGTCCCTTGATTTAGTACTCAAAGGGTTAGACACTGACATTTCTCTTCTTAGGGAGTAGCAATGCCTCTCTTCATCCCCCTTCTGGGGAGTCTTTGTGCAGGGTTATAGTAATACACAGGTAAATGCTCAGGGTGCCCTGCGGTGAGGACAGCATCCACGCACCCAGCCCTAGCTGCACCTTCATGCTCCTCGGGGCCCTCACCTCTCTATCCAGCCCCACTTGCACGGTTCGGATCTCCCCCGTAAGCTCATCGATGCTGAAATGCTCTGTCTCGCCCTGGTCCAGGATCGAGTACCTCAGCGCTGCATTGTCTGTGTCTGGGTCATCGGCATCGGTAGCTTCGGCCTTTGTTACATAGGTGCCTGGGGGGGACAGACATACTGATTTCCAGGGGTCTCGCTCCCCTGTGGGCAGAACGAGGGACCCAAACACTCGCAGCTGAAAACTCACTCCCTCAGCATCCCCAGTAACCACGGTGCACATAAATCTACTGGAGCAGACCGAAAAGAATCGATGTGGGGGAGCCTAGTGTATATTCCAGGCAAAATGAAGAGAGAGGGTTTTAGGGGATGTCCCATTGTCAACTAGGGGGGTCACCAAGGTGAAACAGCCGAAGCCGATGATTCTCCAATATTTGAACAAACACAGATTAGTTCAATGTTTTCCAACCCTTTAAAGCCTGTCACTTTACTGGAGCAGATGTCACGGATAGATGAGGGAATGGGGATTCAATTTCAATAAAGAAATTGTCCAATACCCAACATAAACAGTTCCAAGTGATGAGATTAGCTCTGGTCTGGGAATCAAACAACTGATCTTGTTATGTTTACATATGTCCTCACTGCCCGGTGCATTTTGATAAGCTTGGAGGTGGAAAGGTCATTATCCTCTTTATTGCCAAGACTTCAGCCTCTTTGCTATAAACACGTTGCAGGTAGTTTATCTTCCAGAACTTGAATAAAGCTTTATTTTTTCATGCATTCTGTTTTTGTGTCTTTGTAAACATTTTTAAGTTTTGGAAACTCCTGATGAAATATGGTTGTTTAACTAGGTGGTCTCTGGCCTAATTTTAAGGATCCCATTTACTTAAATAGAGCCTTTCAAAGGAATTTCTAAGCTTTTGGGAATCCAGGGGCATCACAGTATACCCAGGCTCTATTCCCCAACGTCACAAGGCACATGCTTGGGGAGGGGAGGGCTGACCAGTCTCACCTGGGATGGCTCCCTCTAGAACGTGGCCGGTAAACACCTCCTGTTGGAAGACTGGCCGGTTGTCATTCTGGTCCACTACCACAATCTCCAGGTCAGTTGGGTCCTCCAGCGTGGACCCTCCCAGATCCAGGGCAAAGGCCTTGAGCTAAGCGAGAAGAGAGCCAGGGCTGGCACCACGGACACTTCAAGCAGCCACATGGATATTTCAATGAGTTTGGGATGGAAATCCAGAGACCTGGCTTCTGGTGTTAGCTGCTCCATCACTTACTAGGTGACTTTGGGAAGGTTACTTGAACAACACTAGGCTATGGGGTTCTCATCTGTTTAAAGGAGGTGAAATAGACTTATCTATATATGGATGGGCTCTGGGCAGAGCTGACTTTGTGGGGCCACTCGGCTTCTTGTCTCTAGGGCTAAGTGCCCCAGATGTGGCTTTTCTGTTGAGTCCAAGTCAAGAGCACTGGGCAGGACCCTGATGGGGTGGGGGGTGGCTTGCAGTGGCTTAAGCCGTGGGGGCTGGATTAGGCTAGAACAGACTCCTCCTGCCAGCAGCCCTTACCCTAAAGTGGTCATTCTTCTCTCGGTCCAGCATAGCATTGAGGAACACCTTCCCGGTGAACTTGTCAATGGAGAAGACCCCGAAAGGCTCTTCATCTACCCCTGGGCCCTTGATGCTATAGATGACGCCACCCAGCTGTTGTTTATCAGACTTGATCTGCCCCAAGAGAGAAAGTGGACTGGTAAGAGAGGTAATGCTATGGTACAGGAGAATAGTGTTGAATCTGGAGTTGGGGCAGCTGAATTCAAATCCTGCTCTTTCTTTTACTCCTTATGTGACCTTGGACAAGTCACCTAAATCTAGCTCAGTCCTCAGTCTCTTCATCTGTAAAGTGATGGCATTGGACGAGGTTTTAAGGTCCCTTCTAACTCTAAATCTGAGCGCAAAGATATGGGGATTAGCCCATGGGGGCTCCATCTTCCCCTGTCATCCCTCCTGGTGAAAGATAATTTAAATGTATTCTTTTACCTCTCCCCTAAGATGCCTGTCCTTTGGAGACTATTTCCTAGTGAGTAGAGACTATTACCTACCAAGGGAATCTGGATGAGGGAAGAAAAGGTGCCTCATCTTCCCCTGGTGAAGTCTTTCTCATACTTCAAGGTTCTAGTCAGGTGCACCTCCTCCATGAAGCCTTCCCTGCCACCTCTCCTCCCTATCTAAAGTATTCTGCTCCTCCTCAAACTGGCTTGAACATTTTGGATTCTCCTTTGCCCTACGGCATTCTACTTGGCATTATACCTGTTTATTAGTGTGTCACTTCTATCCCTCCTCCCACCCTTTCCCTATTAGACCCTGAGGTCCTTGACAGTAAGTACATATTATGCATTTCATCCTTGTATCCCCAGAACCTCACATGATGTCTTACACATAGCAGGTTCTTAAACATTTCCTGATGTGAAATAGGGTGACTGGCTCACTCTTACCAGCCCTCTCCTCCCCCACCTTCCCCACCCTGCCCCCTATTCTTCAGGAATTCTGGGGAGTCCTGGGAGAAGTTTCTGGCTTCAATTGGAAAAGTCACAGATGGAGGTCTGGGGGGAAGGTGGTGGTGTAGGTGGGAATCACCCTTGGGCTTTGGCAGTAGTGCCAAGTTCCAGGTAGGACTGTGTTCTCCTCTCCTATATACATGGAGGTTAATTACAAAGCCTGTCCTGACTTCCCTCTCTCCCCTTCCCCAAGCCCCTGAATGCCCCTGCCAACCTGCACCAAGGTGTAGGGAATCCTCTTGTGGTTCTCGGACACGCTGATGGGCGGGATGACCCAGGCTCTCCGAACTCGATTCAGTCCCGTTGGATGTCGCCAGAGATAAAGTGGGCTAGGAGGCACAGTCATCCCCATGGAGAGGCTGAGACCCTAGAATCAGGAAATGGAAAGCATTGGTGCCATGATCTGATTTCCATTACCCGGCATGGCTGGTTTCACCATTATCCCAATGTTTTCCCTTAATAGGAAATTAGCCAGTGACAGCCTCCTAGACTCAGAGGAGACCCCAGAGTAGAAAATTGGGCAGTGAATGAAGCTTTTGCCAGAAGCACAGGAGCTGAGCTTCATGGGAGATTAGGACCTGAATGGGATGCCAAGCTCTGAGTGAACTGGAAGCATCTCCAGGAAGTGTGACCCCTGAGCTGTGTGCCTAGGAGTATGGACCATGGCTATGGCAGAATGGAAAGAACACAGGATTTAGTATTAGAAAAACCTTAGTTCAAACACAGATTCTGCCAGCTACTAGAGAGGCTAGGTGAGGGGGCAGAAAGAAAAATTGGGGGGTAGGGGTAGGAGGGAGGGAGAGAGAGACAGAGAGAGAGAGAGAGAGAGGAGAGAGAGAGAGGAGAGAGAGAGAGAGAAGAGGAGAGAGAGGAGAGAGAGAGAAGAGAAGAGAGAGAGAGAGAAGAGGGAGCAGTATTAAGCAGGGCTTTGTGGTAAGAGCTGGGGCTACAAATACCAACAAGGTAATCTCTGCCTTTAAGGACCTTATGCTCTAATAGGGGAAGACACCTGAAGGGTTGTTAGTGAGTTGATGAAGCCCCAGGGGAGGCCTGAGTTTGATGCTGAGCTCTGACATTTTTAGCTGTGTGGCTACGACCAAGTCACCTAATCTTTCTGTTTCTCAGTCTGATCAGGATGAGGATCAGATGACATAGTTTGCCCTATAACTGAATTCCTTCCCACCTTTTCCAGCAGATCGCCCCCCTTTATTATCTTCACTCTCACTAATCCTCAATCTCTCTGACTACAAACATGCCTATGTCCCTTCATCTTTAAAAAACCCTGCTAGCTTTCATTCCATATCTTTCCTCTCTTTCATGCCTAACCTATTTTTTAATTTAAATTTTATTTTTTTCTCAATTACATGTAAAGAAAAATTTTAACATTCTTTTTTTAAGTTTTGAATTCCAGATTCTTTCCCTCCTTCTCTCTCTGCCTTCTCCCCTTGAGAAGGCAAACAATTTGATATAGATTATACATGTACAGTTAAACAAAACATTTCTATACTAGCCATGTTGCAAAAGAAAATGCAGACCACCCTCCCCCTCAAATAATAAAGAAAGTTTTAAGAAAGTATGCTTCAATCTGCATTCAAAGTCCATCATTTCTTTCTCTGGATGTGGACAGCATTTTTTTTTTTTTTTAGTGAGGTAATCAGGATTAAGTGACTTGCCCAGGGTCACACAGCTAGTACGTGTCAAGTGTTTGGTCTGAGGCCAGAATTGAACTCAGGTCCTCCTCACTTCAGGTCCTCCTGCTCTATCCACTGTGCCACCTAGCTGCCCCAGCATTTTTTGTTTATCATGTCCTTTGGAATTGTCCTGGATCATTGTATTACTAAGAAGAGCTAAGTCATTCACAGTTGATCATCATATAATATTAGGGTCACTGTGTACAATGTTCTCTTGGTTCTACTCATTTCATTTTGCATCAGTTCATGTAAGTCTTCCCAGGTTTTTCTGAAATCATCCTGCTTATCATTTCTTATAGGACAATAGTGTTCCATCACATTCATATACCACAACTTGTTCAGCTATCCCCCAATAGATGGGCATACCCTCAAATTCCAATTCTTTGCCACCACAAAAAAGTTGCTATAAATACTTTTATACATATAGTTCTTTTCCTTTTTGTTTTTGATCTCTTTGGGATACAGACCTAGTAGAGGTATCGCTGGGTAGAAGGATATGTACAGTTTTCTAGCCCTTAGGGCATAGTTCTAAGTTACTCTCCAGAATGGTTGAATCAGTTCACAACTCCACCAACAGTGCATTAGTGCATAACTAACCTTGAAAAAGTCATCTAAATCCATGTTTCTACTTCCTCTCCTTTCACTCTCTTTTAAATTCTTTGCAGTCTGGCTTCTGGCCTTATCATTTAACTGAAACTGTGTTCTTTCAATTACCTAATTCTCGATCTGTGTCCTTCTTGACTTCTCTGCAGCCTTCACCATAGTTGATCACCTTCTCCCAGGTAATCTTTTCTCTGTGGTAGGGTTATTTTGAAACAAAAGAAGTCACTCTGTGACTTCTGTGTGGGTTTTCACATGGAGAAGAGTCAAATGTAGGATGCGTGGAAAGGGAGAAGGGAGCCAGGCTGTGAAGGGCTTACCACATCAGACCAAGGACTTTCTATTTGATCCCAGAGATGATGAGCAGCCACTGGAATTGATTGAACAGGAAAAGCAGGGGTGACGCGGTCGGCTCTGTACTTGAGGAAGATCCATTGACCAGCTGGGTAGAGGATGGCCCAGAGTGGGGACAGACTGAAGTAGAGAGATCAACCACAGGGCTTTGGTAATCATCTAGGCACGGGGTGGTGAGGCCACCTCTGTGGGTTTCTCTGTGGATTCTCATGAGCTATCCCCTCTTGGTTCTCCTGTCTGTCTGTTTCTTCTCAGTCTCTCCTGCCAGATCTTCATTCAGGTCACTCCCACTAACTATGGCTCTCCCCTGTCCCCATGGGTTTGTCCTTGACCCTCTTCTCTTCTCTCTCCATACTATCTTTCTTGGTGATGTCAACAGCTCCCATAGACTCAGTGATCATTGTCACGCAGATGATTCTCAGATCTATTTATCCAGCCCTAACCTCTCTCCTGACCTCCACGCTCACATCTCCAACTGCCTATTGAACATCTCAAACTGGATGACATAGGTATCTTAAACTCAACATGTCCAAGACTAAACTCATCATTCCCTCCCTCTTACTGCCCCCCCCTTCTCTATTACTGTTGAGAATACGACTATCTTCCTGGGCACCCAGGCTCACAACCAAAGTGTCATCCTGGAGTCCTCCCTCTTTCTCACCCTGCCCCCATACCCAATCTAACACCAAGCTCTGTTGATTTTACCTCTGAAATCTCTTTCATGAGCACCCCATTCTCTCCTCTGACACTGCCTCTTGCCTGTGCACCCAGGTCCTCACCACCCCATGCCTAGATGATTACCAAAGCCCTGTGGTTGATCTCTCTACTTCAGTCTGTCCCCACTCTGGGCCGTCCTCTACCCAGCTGGCCAATGGATCTTCCTCAAGTACAGAGCTGACCGCGTCACCCCTGCTTTTCCCGTTCAATCAATTCCAGTGGCTGCTCATCATCTCTGGGATCAAATAGAAAGTCCTTGGTCCGATGTGGCAAGCCCTTCACAGCCTGGCTCCCTTCTCCCTTTCCACTCATCCCACATTTGACTCTTCTCCACGTACTTGGTGATGCAGCGACCCTGTCCCCCTTGCTGCTCCTCAAACATACCCCATCACCCGACAGCTCCTTTTCACTGTCCCCCGTGCCTGAAATTCTCCCTCTCCTTATCCCTGCCTTCTGGCTTCCCTGAAGATTCAGCTCCAATCCCACCTTCTTCCAGAGGCCTTTTCCAGGGCCATCCACGGCACCTTTCTGCCAATATTACCACCATCAACACTGTGGATATCTAGTACGTACGGAGCTATTTTTTTTTTTTAAGATTTGTTTTTTTTGGGGGGGGGGTTTGTTTTGTTTTTGTTTGTTTTTTTTTATTAATTTATTTTGATTTATCAGCAATCACTTCCATATGTTTTTGAGTTTAAAATTTTTCTCCCCCTTCCTCCCCACCACCCTCCCCAAGATGGCACATAATCTGATATAGGCTATACATACACATTCCTGTTAAACATATTTTCATATTACTGATGTTGTAAGTAAAAATTAGAACCAATAGGAGGAACCACCAGAAAGAGGAAACAGAACTCAACAGAAGAGAAAAAAAAATAGCAATTCAACTTCTGTAGTTCTTTCTATGGATTTGGCTAGCATTTTCCATTATGAGGCTTTTGGAGATGTCTTAGTATTGCTGGAAAGGGTTAAGTTTGTCAATATTAGTCATCGCACAACGTGGCTGTTACTGTGTACTACATTCTCCTGGTTCTGCTCACTTCACTCAGCATCAGATCATACAAGTCTTTCCAGGTTTTTCTGAAGTCTGCCTGCTCATCATTTTTTATAGCACAATAGTATTCCATCACATTCATATACCACAACTTGCTCAGCCATTCCCCAATTGATGGGCATCCCCTCAATTTCCAATTCTTTGCCACCACAAAAAGAGCTGCTATAAATATTTTTGTATACGTGGGTCCTTTTCCCATTTCATACAGAGCTATTTGTATGCTGTCTCCACACCCCCATCACCTCGAGAGCTCACAGTGCCCAGTACACAGTAGGTGCTTAATATATACTTGTTGATAATATACTTTGTAAACCTTAAAGTGCTATGTAAATGTATTAATTAGAAATACCTAGCATTTATATAGTGCCTACTCTGTGCCAGGCACTGTGCTAAATGTTTATATTATCTCACTGATCTTCACAATAACTGGGTGGTAGGTGCTATTATGAATAATAATATTAGTAATACCAATGATGGCTAGCATTTATATAATGCCTACCATGTGACAAGCACTGTGCTAAGCACTTCTCAAATATCTCATTTGATTTTCACCACAACTCTGGCGAGCATATGCTACTATTATTCCCATTTTACAGAGGAGGAAACTGAGGCAAACAGAGGCTAAGTGACTTAACCAGGGTCACCCAGCTAGTAAGTATCTCCAGATGGATTTGAACTCAGGTCTTCCTGACTCCTGGCCCACTGCTCTATCCACGGGGCCATCCAGCTACCGAATGTGAGTTATTATTATTGTTGTTGCTATTATTTTCATTTTTTTCCTCTCTAGACTCTCGTTAGGGGAGCACTAATAGGATGGCAAACCCCTTTCCAGGTTTTGGGGTCATGCCTCATTGGCTCCCGGGAAGCGTCACCATGAATGACACTCTCTCTGAAACTCTACACCTATAACGTGCATCTCCTGTTTGCTGCACCCCAGCCCTCACCATA